CTACAAAAAAATCATTTTTGTTTTTTTACATATACTTCTATTCAGAGAAATTTAAGAGGCTTATCCCTCAAAACTGCAAATACAAAAAAGTTGCACAAAATAGTTTCCAACCACAGGAAATTTATTTTGAGGGTCTTCATAGTTTTATTTTTGAAATACACCAATTTTTATATACTGCAGGAAAAACAACAATAAATATTATAATGCAAATTTGCATAAAAACCAGCTTGTGCATCAAAATAAACTATTTCCAGCAGTGCAGTGTGAGGATCCCAGAAACTATTGAGAAAAGCACAGTCAAACATGACTTTTAGAAACACCAGTGTAGGCTGATGAGCCCCCGAAGGGAAGAAAAACTACATTTTCTGTGAAAAAGACGTCACTGCCGGTTTCGGGCAGGTCATGGCGAACATGCCATAGTTCACGCTGACGTCTATTCCAATGTGGGAAGTGTTACGAACAGCTGATCGGATCGGCAAAGCGTGTTTCTGGAATATGTTTTTGTTGCTATAAAGCCACATGTGGAAGGAAACCGTGACCGAGGATGAGATGTAAGTACAACTCCTCCGGTTTCATGTGCAAAAATGATTGCACAAGCTTACATGGTTCCAGTTCTACGGGGATTTAAAAATAGTTACGCCAAACGGAGTGTGCCGCTCCGACCGGCTTTGAAAGGTTAACATTACTGCTAAAGTTCTGGTCTCGGCGTCAGAGCAGTTCCACCTTCATTTATAGGTGATAATGCCTGCTAACCCACAGCACTGTGGCTTTATTTCAGTAACTGTGAGACTCTGAGCTGAGGCTGACGTTTGCTTAGTGAAAGACTTAAGCAGCAGTGAAACGTTTCGGAGGGGGTCCTCGACTAAACGAACACGATGGCAAAAGAAGCTCCTGAACTCTCAGCATTCATAACTGTAACAAACACAAAGTGGATTTCAGATGCAAGGCCCACAGAGTTGCAACGTCCACAGAGGTGTGTGTTGGCTCACTGATACATGCCCCGCAGTCTTACAGACAGCTGTGCAGCTCACATGGATTCAAACAGTGGAAAAGAAAAACGAGACCATCAGATGGTGAGGAAGAGGTCCCACCTTCAGCAAACACTGGAGGTTAAGTCTTACAATGATGTGATTGCAGCCACCCCCCACTCTGTGAATGGTACTCATGACCATTGGTCAGTGACCGAGGAGCTGACCTCCAGCCCGTTGTTCCTTCAGTGGTGCTGGTTTCAGTCAGTGTGTAAATGTCCTGTTTGTAAGGTTGTAGACCTGCAGTCAGCTGACACTTGATGATGATGATGAAACGTTTCTCCCACTGAAAACGCCCAGAAGAACAGAATCAACCTTCTAGGTTTTACCTACCTGGATGATTAAATCAAGATAAAAGTTGCCACGAAGTATACAAACAGTGAACTGACAGTCAGACCTCAGCTCGTCTGTTCTTATTTTGGGAAGAAAACATCAGTTTCCACGTAAATACGAGCCACATGACTCGTTTCACTGTGGCCACTGGACACGTTGTTAAAGCCATCATGGCAGTAATGTGTACCAAGCTGGGACCATCTGCAGCCGTTAGCAGCGCAGCCGTGGAAGGACTTGGTAACACTGAGCAGCTGCTTTGCCTTTTCAATGATTCTGTCTTTAATAAACAGTTATTTCTGTGGTAGGTGACTGGTGCTTGTCGTCATTCTGAATGAATTGTTTGAGTGTAAAGCAGGGGTGGGAGCCTTTTCATATGATGGGCCATTATGTCTTTACATCGCCCTCCGAGGGCCATGCTGTTGTAAACACACACCTGAGGATGGAAAAAACAGAGCGAGACCCAAAAAGTGTAACTACTGGTTTGTTCTTTAAACAAAACAGTTACTTGTGTATTTAATGATCAGCAAAAGGTGTCCAGCCAACATCCCAGTGAAGGACAGAAATGCATCACTCTGCGACCTGCTGCTCCAGGTTCTGGAACTTTCTCTTGTGCGCGGCTGTTTTTCAGGTGGAGGCTTCCAGTCCCCAGACGGTGGAGGATTTCGGGGCCGTGGTGGTGGCAGAGGAACCCCAAGAGGCAGAGGGGGTAGAGGAGGGAGGGGTGGCCGAGGTGGTTTCGGAGGAGGGAAGAAGGTCCTGATCGAGCCTCACAGACATGAAGGTGATTGTTCATATTTTAGAGGACTGAGGCATTTTCTGCACTGAAGGCTGGACTGTTTTGAGCCTCGGCTACAGTTTGTCACATTTTATTCACCCTTCAGCATTTGCCTTCATTTGGAAGCTTATTCGTGTGTGTGTGTGTGTGTGTGTCAGGAGTGTTCATCTGCAGGGGAAAGGAGGATGCCCTGGTGACAAAAAACATGGTGGTAGGAGAGTCTGTGTATGGAGAGAAGAGGATCAGTGTGGAGGTGAGTCCAGTTCAGCTGTTGCTGCTATGCCAAATATAAAAACGTGTGCTCTTCCTGCTGTTGTGACCACACTTTGAGTCGATGTTCGCTTCGGTCTTGGTAGGAAGGAGAGACTAAGATTGAATACAGAGCCTGGAATCCGTTCCGCTCCAAGCTGGCTGCGGCCATCTTGGGAGGAGTCGACCAGATCCACATCAAGCCTGGAGCCAAGGTCATGTACCTGGGAGCTGCCTCTGGCACCACAGTGTCCCACGTTTCCGACATCGTTGGACCCGTGAGTACCGCACACTTTCTCTTTGTAGCTGCCGAACGGGCAGACCACTGCTGGCAGTAGTGTTTGACCACAGGGGACGTGACAGGAGGGGCAAAGGGATCAAACGCACAATAATTAAAACTACGATCCTCATTCCTCCATCAAAAACTGGGGAACCGGACGGTGTCATGGGATGTTCCTAAAATGAAAGAGACAAACGCGGCTCACTGGAGTTTCTCTTCCAGTGGATTAAAAATGGGGCCAGAATTGGGTGGAAATAAAGTCATGAGTGGGCCAATGGGCTGCATCATCAAGATTTCTAGGGTGGTGTAGATAAAGTTAGGGCGTAGGTCTCAGCACAGTGTACATGCAGCGTAGATTTAACACAGGAAACAAAAGCAGCTTGCATTGACATGAGTGTGTTGTGTGACAGGAAGGGCTGGTCTATGCAGTAGAGTTTTCCCACCGGTCGGGTCGCGACCTTCTCAACGTGGCGAAAAAACGCACCAACATCATTCCAATCATCGAAGACGCTCGGCACCCGCACAAATACAGAATGCTTGTTGGTGAGTAGTGTGATGCAGATGAGCTGGTGAAAGACGAAGAGGTTTGTTTAATCCTTGCAGAGCATTCACTGTCTGTCCCTCTGCAGGCATGGTGGATGTGATCTTTGCTGATGTTGCCCAGCCTGACCAGACGAGGATCGTTGCTTTGAACGCTCACAACTTTTTGAAGAACGGCGGCCACTTTGTTATCTCAATCAAGGTACGCTGATAACTGCCGTAACAGGTAACGGCTGCCTGAACGCTGGACTTTGAAGGGTTTAACGTTGTCTTAAGCAGAAGTTCTCCAGGCTTTCTAAAGGTCTTTCATGGTTCCTCTTCGACCATTTTCACATGTTTTAGCTTAGGCTTTGTTGAATCTCAAAAAACTAATGAAGACATTTTCCGAGTCAGTTATCGAGTTACTGACCCACAAACATGAGTACGTTTCTCACATGGCGTGATTTCTAATAGCAAATGTTGCTAAAGCTAAAGAGAATAAAAGGGCGTCTCCTGCTTCACTACAGAATGACTGTAGACGGCTGCTAAATCAGCTTATGTGTGACTGAATCCTTGATTTGGACTCAAACTAGTTTTAGTCGTATGCTAGGATACTCGTGTGATGGTGAGGAATGTCTAGCTGTTCAGGACTTGTTGTTGTTCGTGAGTCTGATTCCAGCTGTGCTCTTCTTCCTTAAGGCTAACTGTATAGACTCGACAGCAGCTCCAGAGGCAGTGTTTGCCTCAGAAGTGAAGAAGATGAGTGCAGAGAACATGAAACCACAGGAACAGCTCACGCTGGAGCCCTATGAGAGAGACCACGCTGTGGTGGTGGGCATCTACAGGTAAAGCGCCCTTAATGAGGCTCTGTACCCAGATTCACGTCCACTAACATTGGCGATCAGGAGAAACGGTCACAGGAAGCTGCTTAGCAACTCACCAAGTTGGAAACCAGTGTTTCCTTTGCATGTTCACATGAAGGGTCAAGGGTCGTTACTGCCTGTATGGGTTATCAGACCTGACACGCTGCCCTGAGGGCACCGGGTAAAGTAGGTGAAGGCTCCCTCATCAGTAAAGATGCCTGACACGCAGCCACCACCCAGCCTTGTGAGGGCCCACCGTGGGTCTCTCTCAATAGGGTGAAGCTCCCACGAGCTAGTTTGGAGGTCGATTGTTCCTGATTGGCCCCTCACGGATCTCGATGTTCTCTGCTATTTCCATATCTTTCCTTCTACCTTCTGACTGGATGCTTATTTCTGGCCACGGATGTAACTTGTTTCCTTTCTTGTGTGACTGGCTGCTGTTCTGGAGTACGTAGTTACAGTTAAGCTTGTCTTAAAAGAGACACAACATGAGAGAGCCAGTGCTTAAGGAAGAAGAGCACAGCTGGAATCAGACTCACGAACAACAACAAGTCCTGAACAGCTAGACATTCCTCACCATCACACGAGTATCCTAGCATACGACTAAAACTAGTTTGAGTCCAAATCAAGGATTCAGTCACACATAAGCTGATTTAGCAGCCGTCTACAGTCATTCTGTAGTGAAGCAGGAGACGCCCTTTTATTCTCTTTAGCTTTAGCAACATTTGCTATTAGAAATCACGCCATGTGAGAACGTACTCATGTTTGTGGGTCAGTAACTCGATAACTGACTCGGAAAATGTCTTCATTAGTTTTTTGAGATTCAACAAAGCCTAAGCTAAAACATGTGAAAATGGTCGAAGAGGAACCATGAAAGACCTTTAGAAAGCCTGGAGAACTTCTGCATAAGACAACGTTAAACCTTCAAAGTCCAGCGTTCAGGCAGCCGTTACCTGTTACGGCAGTTATCAGCGTACCTTGATTGAGATAACAAAGTGGCCGCCGTTCTTCAAAAAGTTGTGAGCGTTCAAAGCAACGATCCTCGTCTGGTCAGGCTGGGCAACATCAGCAAAGATCACATCCACCATGCCTGCAGAGGGACAGACAGTGAATGCTCTGCAAGGATTAAACAAACCTCTTCGTCTTTCACCAGCTCATCTGCATCACACTACTCACCAACAAGCATTCTGTATTTGTGCGGGTGCCGAGCGTCTTCGATGATTGGAATGATGTTGGTGCGTTTTTTCGCCACGTTGAGAAGGTCGCGACCCGACCGGTGGGAAAACTCTACTGCATAGACCAGCCCTTCCTGTCACACAACACTCATGTCAATGCAAGCTGCTTTTGTTTCCTGTGTTAAATCTACGCTGCATGTACACTGTGCTGAGACCTACGCCCTAACTTGATCTACACCACCCTAGAGATCTTGATGATGCAGCCCATTCGCCCACTCATGACTTTATTTCCACCCAATTCTGGCCCCATTTTTAATCCACTGGAAGAGAAACTCCAGTGAGCCGCGTTTGTCTCTTTCATTTTAGGAACATCCCATGACACCGTCCGGTTCCCCAGTTTTTGATGGAGGAATGAGGATCGTAGTTTTAATTATTGTGCGTTTGATCCCTTTGCCCCTCCTGTCACGTCCCCTGTGGTCAAACACTACTGCCAGCAGTGGTCTGCCCGTTCGGCAGCTACAAAGAGAAAGTGTGCGGTACTCACGGGTCCAACGATGTCGGAAACGTGGGACACTGTGGTGCCAGAGGCAGCTCCCAGGTACATGACCTTGGCTCCAGGCTTGATGTGGATCTGGTCGACTCCTCCCAAGATGGCCGCAGCCAGCTTGGAGCGGAACGGATTCCAGGCTCTGTATTCAATCTTAGTCTCTCCTTCCTACCAAGACCGAAGCGAACATCGACTCAAAGTGTGGTCACAACAGCAGGAAGAGCACACGTTTTTATATTTGGCATAGCAGCAACAGCTGAACTGGACTCACCTCCACACTGATCCTCTTCTCTCCATACACAGACTCTCCTACCACCATGTTTTTTGTCACCAGGGCATCCTCCTTTCCCCTGCAGATGAACACTCCTGACACACACACACACACACGAATAAGCTTCCAAATGAAGGCAAATGCTGAAGGGTGAATAAAATGTGACAAACTGTAGCCGAGGCTCAAAACAGTCCAGCCTTCAGTGCAGAAAATGCCTCAGTCCTCTAAAATATGAACAATCACCTTCATGTCTGTGAGGCTCGATCAGGACCTTCTTCCCTCCTCCGAAACCACCTCGGCCACCCCTCCCTCCTCTACCCCCTCTGCCTCTTGGGGTTCCTCTGCCACCACCACGGCCCCGAAATCCTCCACCGTCTGGGGACTGGAAGCCTCCACCTGAAAAACAGCCGCGCACAAGAGAAAGTTCCAGAACCTGGAGCAGCAGGTCGCAGAGTGATGCATTTCTGTCCTTCACTGGGATGTTGGCTGGACACCTTTTGCTGATCATTAAATACACAAGTAACTGTTTTGTTTAAAGAACAAACCAGTAGTTACACTTTTTGGGTCTCGCTCTGTTTTTTCCATCCTCAGGTGTGTGTTTACAACAGCATGGCCCTCGGAGGGCGATGTAAAGACATAATGGCCCATCATATGAAAAGGCTCCCACCCCTGCTTTACACTCAAACAATTCATTCAGAATGACGACAAGCACCAGTCACCTACCACAGAAATAACTGTTTATTAAAGACAGAATCATTAAAAAGGCAAAGCAGCTGCTCAGTGTTACCAAGTCCTTCCACGGCTGCGCTGCTAACGGCTGCAGATGGTCCCAGCTTGGTACACATTACTGCCATGATGGCTTTAACAACGTGTCCAGTGGCCACAGTGAAACGAGTCATGTGGCTCGTATTTACGTGGAAACTGATGTTTTCTTCCCAAAATAAGAACAGACGAGCTGAGGTCTGACTGTCAGTTCACTGTTTGTATACTTCGTGGCAACTTTTATCTTGATTTACTCATCCAGGTAGGTAAAACCTAGAAGGTTGATTCTGTTCTTCTGGGCGTTTTCAGTGGGAGAAACGTTTCATCATCATCATCAAGTGTCAGCTGACTGCAGGTCTACAACCTTACAAACAGGACATTTACACACTGACTGAAACCAGCACCACTGAAGGAACAACGGGCTGGAGGTCAGCTCCTCGGTCACTGACCAATGCTCATGAGTACCATTCACAGAGTGGGGGGTGGCTGCAATCACATCATTGTAAGACTTAACCTCCAGTGTTTGCTGAAGGTGGGACCTCTTCATCACCATCTGATGGTCTCGTTTTTCTTTTCCACTGTTTGAATCCATGTGAGCTGCACAGCTGTCTGTAAGACTGCGGGGCATGTATCAGTGAGCCAACACACACCTCTGTGGACGTTGCAACTCTGTGCGCCTTGCATCTGAAATCCACTTTGTGTTTGTTACAGTTATGAATGCTGAGAGTTCAGGAGCTTCTTTTGCCATCGTGTTCGTTTAGTCGAGGACCCCCTCCGAAACGTTTCACTGCTGCTTAAGTCTTTCACTAAGCAAACGTCAGCCTCAGCTCAGAGTCTCACAGTTACTGAAATAAAGCCACAGTGCTGTGGGTTAGCAGGCATTATCACCTATAAATGAAGGTGGAACTGCTCTGACGCCGAGACCAGAACTTTAGCAGTAATGTTAACCTTTCAAAGCCGGTCGGAGCGGCACACTCCGTTTGGCGTAACTATTTTTAAATCCCCGTAGAACTGGAACCATGTACGCTTGTGCAATCATTTTTGCACATGAAACCGGAGGAGTTGTACTTACATCTCATCCTCGGTCACGGTTTCCTTCCACATGTGGCTTTATAGCAACAAAAACATATTCCAGAAACACGCTTTGCCGATCCGATCAGCTGTTCGTAACACTTCCCACATTGGAATAGACGTCAGCGTGAACTATGGCATGTTCGCCATGACCTGCCCGAAACCGGAAGTGACGTCTTTTTCACAGAAAATGTAGTTTTTCTTACCTTCGGGGGCTCATCAGCCTACACTGGTGTTTCTAAAAGTCATGTTTGACTGTGCTTTTCTCAATAGTTTCTGGGATCCTCACACTGCACTGCTGGAAATAGTTTATTTTGATGCATATGCTGTTTTTTGCAAATTTGCATTATAATATTTATTTTCGTTTTTCCTGCAGTATATAAAAATTGGTGTATTTCAAAAATAAAACTATGAAGACACTCAAAATAAATTTCCTGTGGTGGGAAACTATTTTGTGCAACTTTTTTGTATTTACAGTTTTGAGGGATAAGCCTCTTAAATTTCTCTAACTAGAAATATATGTTAAAAAAACAAAAACGATTTTTTTGTAGTTTATTGCAATTTATGCAGTTACTATGGACTCGATGCATACGTATCATTAAAATGTGGGCTATAACGGTTGTACTGATGTATAACAACTTGAAATGCTCCCAAAAATGGCGCTATATAAATGCAATACATTATTATCATTATTATCATTACTACTACAGCATGTACAAGTATAAAGATAAGCTCTGGCGGACTTGGTTCTTAAAGGTCTTAAAGCGTTAAGAAAGAGTGGAGCGCTCAATGCGTGGTTAAAACGCGGTGGTCGAAGCAGCGGCGTTTGAAGATTGCTCGGTAACTGGAGAAACAAATACAAAGCAACGCTTCATCTGCTGTTTGTGATCAAGTGGAGCACAGAGTGTTTTGTGAGCTGCTTTAACTCCGAAACTGTCACTATTTGAACTTAACAGCCTAGAATATTATATTATTAGCAGATACCTGAATAAAAATACTTTGTTTTAATTGCTTCGAGTCGTCATCCTGGCGTTTGAGGATCACATCCACGATGTGATGATACGAACGACACGTTTCCAGTCTCACCTCTTCCTCCCCGGAATCCTCCCCGGAATCCTCCTCGTCCTCCGCGGTCACCAAACCCTCCTCTGCCTCCACCTCTTCCTCCACCTCTTCCTCTGTCCATGCGAGGACTGAAACCTGAAAGCATGAATCGTTATTATATGTGTAAACAGACACATCTATAACACTCATCCACCCAATCATCTCCTCTTAAGCACTTTTATCCACTGACGTTCACACACACATCACACCGAGCGCACTGGAGGAACTCTGGCAGACTGGAGTAGGTGTGAGTCAGCCCACAGACGCCCCACAGGCGACCTGCAGGCTGTGAAATACCAGCAGAACCTTCAAACTTCATATCCACCTCTTCAGAACAAGCCTTGCTGGAACAACACGTTCAAACTTGAAGTTATTCGCCACGTGAGTGGGGCCGTCACAGCGATAAAAGACGCCACAGAGGAAGTCAGGCTGATGATCCTGTTGCTCGTGTCCGGCTTCTGTCAGGCTCACAGACCGCGCTGTGGTGCTTTGTCCAGTTGTGTTTTTAAATAAAGGTCATTTAGATTTTTGTGAATGAGTTACTCTCAACTCACTAAGCGGTGCCACTGGTGGGCTAACCATTCCACTGGTGTCACGTTGTTGACCCCACGCAGCCAAGCAGGCACTAGTGAAAAACCGACGTTAGAGACCGAGTCACTGCAGGTGAGACAGCTGCTGCGAGCCAAAGCAACCAGTACGTGGCTGCTTACGCCAGTGCCGCCATCTTGGATGGTTAACCCGGGTCGCTCCACATTTAAACACCGACTGCGACCACTTGAGGGACCCAGCACAACACGCACACAACGCGGCTGTTCAAACACACACTCAGACACATGCTTAATAAAAGTAACGGCTGAGACTCGACTCACCGCCTCCTGTGTGGGCTTTGAACGACAGGCGTGCTCGCGGCGTGCTCCGCGTGGCCGTGATGTTTGGACACTCACGGAACCGCAAACACACAGACCGGGCTAACGTTAGCGCGAGCTACGTCTCGTGGAGCAGAAAACAGCTGTAAACGGCTGGAACGGGTTTCAGCCGGCGTGACCCGACTTTGGCTTTTCCTCGCGGAATAAAACCGTAACTCTGGTTGTAACGGAGCTCGCTGTGTGGGCCCCACGGAGTCCCAGACACGTGCGAGGAGACACAGCGCGTGTTCAACTCAGAGCACTTATTCCGCCAGCGCGGACACATCGACGGCTCACCGTGAACAAACCACGCGCTCAGACAGCCAAGTCTGCGGTAGTTTTCACAATAACGTGGCCGTGTAGGCCGTCCACGCAGTGTACCTGACTGCACAGACTCACCGAACACACGATCAGACATCAGCCCGCGTTACCGAGCGTAAGCACGTGTGTCTTACTGTACCTGGCCTCATCGTTTCTGGCGTAAACTACTGAGATGGACGCAGCCCGCGGAGTTGAATCGCTTCTCTTCTGTGTTGATCCTCAGTGAACAGACACGGCGTGATCACGTCCCACGTGCAACTGTGCGACCCAGAGCAAACTTTCTTCTTCTATCGAATCTATTGTTGCTTAGCAAGCAAAACGGCGCATTAGCGCCACCAACTGGACACAGACGGAAACCTTGTTTTCAAACAGAGGACAGCTGCCGGATGTTGTGCCGAGACAACCTTCCTGTCACAAGGTAGAAGCTGGAATCCGTCTGTGATTGCTGATTGATATCTGCATCTAAACGATAACGGTCAGGCTCACATCTCACATGGTTTGAAAGAGGCACTTATCTGCACAATCTCATGCACACATATGCACACCTGCATACACCAAGTTACTTTTTGCACAACCCACTGTCGTTGTTGCATTATTAACTGGGTGAATAATGGAATAATCTTGGTTAGCCAGTTAAATAGAGAAGATGGACTCTTATATAATTACTCTGAATTCCTCCTCATGTAAATTCTGGAAGGACCTCCACAAGTTTATTACTGACTCTGTTCTCCCTAATTTTCAGTTATACTACAAGGACTTTATCTTTGGCTGTTATCATTTTAAACACAAGGACAGTGATGCTTTCTTCTTTATAAATATGTTTGTTTGTTTTGGCAAAACTTCACATACACAAAAGCAGAGTCCTCGGCAGAAAGCCTGAACTTCTTGTATGAAAAGTAGAACTCGCACAATATATAAGGACAATCTCCTCATCAAAGAACACCGAGGCTCTCAAGTTAACATCTGGAACTGTTTGAAACTTGATTTTGGCTCTCGCATGAGGAGAAGAAAAGACTGAGCTGCGAGACCGTGGTAATTAAACACCATGGATTTCCTCCTCCAGACAGTGAAAAAACATAGAGAGAGTCCATCTCACTTAGTGTTCACTGGTCAATGCATTTTATTTTTGTGACCGCACTGTAGTCTCACTGTGCCCCGCTCTACGCTGCACTAGTGCTTCTTCCATTCTTGCGTGGCTAACAGCCTACGTCCCAAAGTGCCGATACCAATGTCCACGTGTGCAGTGCGGCGTCCGCTCGGTACTCATGAGCCCTCACTGTGCGTGAGTGCCTTAAAGCGAGCCTTGCGTATGAGCAATCCAAAGCCGGTTCTTGAACAACCCAAAAGCCCGCGGAAACGTGCGCTTATCTCTATGCCTGTTAGCAATACGCTTCAAACCCAGTTAAAGGAAAAACAAAAACCCCACTTGATGACGGCGGGCGGGCGTGCGACCAGCCTGTCGGGCGGGCGTGCGACCAGCCTGTCGGGCGGGCGTGCGACCAGCCTGTCGGGCGGGCAGCCATGGCTGCAGCTGCTGAACCTCCGGGTCAAAGGTTACATTTCCTGGAAGCTTTCTTTGAAGTGGATCCAACATAGTTGGACTGGAACAGTTGCTGAGTAACCTGGAACTGTTTATCAGAGTAACCATGTAATGTTGCTTTAGTTTTTAAAGAACACGCAGCCTAACATTACCATCGTTATCAGAAAGGCGGAGCTTATTCTGCTCAGTTGAAACTCAGTTAATCAGTTCAGTTTCCTGCTTCTGCATCAGGGCTCAGACTAAGGACTTGCACACGAGGCTTTTTAGCTCCTCAGCCTGTGGTTCCTGAGGACAGAGCTCTCAGCTCCTGCGCTGCGGCAGCGCCATCTGGTGGACTCCTTAAAAACAAAACCCAGCTGGCAGCAGCACAGTGGCTTTGAAGAAACACAGCCTGCTGTCAGCTCCAGTCTGTAGTTTTATTTAAGGTTCATTGGAGGAGATGGAAGGAAAACCTCTCACTGCTTCCATTAAGAACTTGCTAACTTACCATTCAGAGTTCAGGTAATGAGCCACATGGATGCATAAATGTATTTACAGATGTGTGTCTGTGTTTGGAACCAGATCAAGCTGCAGCCGAACTGCTCAAAGAATCGTTTCTGACCTTTTCTGGCTTTTACTCTAAGTGCAGAGGCTCGCTGAAGGCAACATGAGAACCACATGACTACAGTCACCAGATCATGAACCACTTAAACACCTCAGCCATCTTACTAAGGACCCCCCTTGTCAGACACAGACCTGCACCAAAAACACTGCATTTGTCTGTAAACATAGTACCTGCTGTGTATCTGTGGTAACCGTGTATTTTCTTTTGTTCTCAGACCTCCACCAAAACAGAAGAAATGATGTGTGCGTGTAAGCTGGGCCGGAGGAGGAGAATGGATTTGCAACCTCCTTCTGGCACGTCCGCCGTCTGTCACCCTCCTCTTTGGCTTCAGTCACTGGTCTGCAGCTTCCTCCAAGCACATTGAAGCAGACCTTCAGCTGGGGTTTCTCATCCAGTCCTTTAATCAACCATCCATCTCCTCTGGTGCTTCCAGTTCTCACAGATCAGGTGGAGAACATTATGTGGTGCCTGGGTCCATCAGTGCAGTACCTTGTTTGCGCTGTGAAAAGGTCCCGTTGTTTGTAATGCACATGTATACAGTAGATGAGGTTACAAAGTAACACGCACTGTTGCGTGCTGTGAACCTGCCTTGTCCTGGGACTTTGGATCCAGCTGTTTGTGCTGAGGACCCTGATCAGTCTGACTGCAGCGAGGTTGCTTGTGTGCTCTGTGCTGTTTTGTTTGTTGGCTTCTGTGCTCCTGATTATTTTCTTAATGATCCTTTTAGTCTGTGACTGGCTCCATATTCTGAACTTGCACCCACACTGCTGGTATCTTTAAATGGTTAACAGTGGACCATTCAAAGTGAATATGTTGCTTTTGCGTCTTCGGGTGACAAACGGCGTCCATTATACACACTTCCTGTTTTGTAGCTGTTTGTTTGAACCAGTTTAAGTATTTTTCTTTTTTCCACGTAGCTGCCATATTTGTTTTAATAAATGTTTTTGGTTGGTTATAATTGAACTCTTTAGCTAAATGCACCATCACACTGACGAACATTAATCTGACTGCTCTTGGTTTCTTTGGTCCAGATTCACAGCACTGAGGTGGTTTTAAAAATGCCATTACTCACTGTTAGGTACACAGGGTCAACGGTCTAATCATGCGGTCACGTGGCAGTAGCCTGATGCATTTAGACAACAACTCGCTGAAGTTCAAGCTGAGAAGAAAGGTAACTTTAATGACTTTGAACGTGGAAGGTTGCTGGGCCCTGGATTGTACGGCACAGCTGTCCCACAGGGTTGCAGAAACTAAAGAACAATGCAGTGAGCAGCAGTTCTGTGATACCTGCCACAGGTAAGAGACCGGTCATACAAATGCAACAGCCACTCACATCTACTTGTTACAACAAAGGCATGCAGAGCAGCAGCTCTACTCAACGTGTCAACAGCTGGAGCAGGAGCCCACGCAGGCCAGTCCTGCCGCTGAGGACGGGAAACGGACCGCAATCCGCACCGGCTCTAACCGGACGTCAGTCCTGAGTCCTGCTGGCAAACATGGCAGCACGGCTCCATACATGTGGTGTCAAGAGCCCCTGAGTACCAACGCAGCATCATTTAAACGCCACAGCTTACCGGAGCATTGTTACCGTGTCGTATCCACGCTGTAGCTGTGTGACGATGACTCGCCGTGTCGCTTCAAACCGGTCAGCTGTGCAGCAGGTGACATGCTGTCAGAATCTGAAGCGTTTCCAGCGCCTTCTTGAAGAATTCAGGCAGCTTTGAACCAACAAGTGTCCGTGGGTGCAGCTCCACGCTGACTTTGCGCGTCACTCAAAGACGTGCCTGAGTGACCGTGGAGCGCACAGGTGCTGGGGTACAACACTAACGACCACAGCTCAGGTTTCGCGCTGTAACCGCTCAGTCCTCCCCCCGACGAACATGAGTGTGTCCACCTGTTCTCAGGTGTGACTCAGAGCTCATGTGTGGACAGGTAGCACGGCCGCTGTGTGCGGCGGGTGTTTGGCCGTTTAGCTCGTGGCGTTGCTGCCTGTGCTGTCAGTGAAACTCACATTAATCGCTTTGTGTAGTTACAGGAGAAACTAACTACTCGTACCTGCAGAGGAAAGGAAGTGCTCTAAGGTGGTGACTCGTGCTAGTTTGTGACAACACTACCATCATCTTTTCGAAGCGTTACACGGTCTGCATCGGGCAGACCTCTAAAATGATTGCTTTAGCACCATTACAGACTGAACTTTGGGAAGTTTGTATGATAGTATGCGGTGCGGTTTGTTTTGGCAGCCATTTTGTGGGAAATTTCTCTGGAACGCGCTGGGCCGTACTTGCCTAGTGTCGGGAGTGCGCTCTCAATGCAGCCCCTCTCCTTTGACCGATATTAACATCACAGAGGGGCTGGCCAGAATAGAGTTAGCTTTAGCCGTGGCTGCTAAAATACGGTCTTTCTCATAGCGTCTGCAGGTTCGGTCCGTCGGCTGGCCGTTACTATCAAACAGCCTGCACTTTGCGGACTGTCTTCCTTCAAATTCCAATGGCAGTGTTTTAATCAAGACAGCTAGCATGCTAGCTACTAGCTAGCTAGCTAATGTTAGCATCTTGCCTTTAAATTAATTGAGAAGAGGACGAGATCGCCTATTCAGTTGCCCCACGCTGTGGTTGCAAGGGACTTTGTTGTGCACCTGAGAATAAATATCGATCCAGTACATTAAGCTTGCTTAACAGAAAGAAGACTGAGTTCGAGGTGTCCGTGTTTGAAGCGGCGGGCTGCCCACCACCCCTTAGGCACGGCTAGCTGTGCTGCGCCGGCAATCAGTCCCCATCGACAGCCCCGCTCCTCGAGCTCCGAAGAACATAGACTATCATATTGTACTGGAAACGGGAAACCAGTTCCTGGCAAATAAGGCAACTCGACATTATTTTGGATTTCTGCTTTGAACGAAGGACAACTGACCTGGGGGAGGGGGCTCGGTTCGTGTGGACGAAGGGAAATAGGGGTTCCGAACATGGCTGCTAGTCGGAACTTGGTTCGACACACCGCCTGAGGTAAGAACTAGCCGGCCGGCGTTGGTCTTATTTATGGAGGAGTTGCTGGTTATGGTGGAGGCTGACACTGGGTTAGTGGTAACAGTGCTTGGTAGAAGAACGTTACCCTCTTTTCGCCCCTGTTACCGGCCTCGTGTTACCGCTTCTCCGGCGCGGCGCCTCAGATAGCT